AAAGTCAGACCAAAGCGCCATCCAGTCCAGCGTCCTGTCTTCCAACAGTGGCCAATGCCAGATGCCCCTGAAGGAGTAAACAGAACAGGCAATCCATGGAGTGATCCCTCCCGTCACCCATTCCCAAAGTCAGGCAAAGAAAGGCTAAGGGTTACGCTCCTGCTCCATCCTGGCTAATAGCCATTTCAGGTGTCACCATCAGTTCAGAAGTGAGAAGGAAATGAATTGGGCAGTTCACATCCTGTCCAGATCATGCAGGAGATCTTGGCCTCATTGAAGTCAGCAGGTGTTTCCAGTAGTGCTAGAATTGTACCTACTAGTTTGAGCCGTATTCCATCTCGGGAAGACCTCATGTATCGGTATACACAGACTTCATGTTTGAGGCTTTCTTCACAGCTGTAAGTGTTGAAAACATAAGCCCTAAGTTTTACCCCCCTTTCCCCCCCCCCCTCCTCCTGGGCTGCTCTATCCCTGCTTTGCTATAAGGCTCTATTGCCACTCCACCCTCTCCCCTGGTGCCTGCCCTTGCTTTGCCTCTTTCTGCCGCCTTTCCTAAGGCCCTGCCCTTGCTCTCCCTCCCCAACACCTCTGCTTGCTGCTGCCTGCCCTCCCCAGGCCTCTTCCCCAGCCCTAAAAGAGTTGTTCAGTTGCACCTTCAATCAGCTGTTGGGTGATGGCCTTGGTTAAGTGCTAGCGGGGCACTGTCCCGCAGCTGCAGCTGGTGGGGCTGGCGCACTGACAGAGTCCGCACCTATGGCTGAAAAACATGTTTGGTGTAAATAACTTCACTTCTAGAGTTGGATTCTGAGGCTGTCAAATAGGTGACCAGGACAGTCAGCTGCATAGATTGGACGCCTTTTAAAAAGATCGTGCTGCAGAGTTCCGAATCAACAGTTGCCCAGCCAGAAAGTACATGCTTAATGAACTGAAAGGGGGTGAGCTCCTGATCCTGGTCTGATCCCTGGGCAAGGCTGCAGCTCCTGTGAAATCACGTCTTTTTTCTCCATACTTGCATCTGTTTTCTACTTCCAACATGTGTAAAGCTCAATGGTATGATCCCCCCTCGCCTCCCTCCCAGCATCACACAATGTCCAGCCTTGTCTTCATTGTTCTAGTATCTCTCTCAGCATGGCTACTAGTGCAGGTTGTCACACAAAGAATTAGGGTCACTCCTTTGCTTCCTCTTTCTTTTTGCTCTCCTTGCTTGTTTTTCATCTCCCCTCGGTCCTTTCAGGACAAGTATTCCTGTGCATGTGTCTAGCCTAGATAGAGCTAATTAAAATTGATGCTGAATTTTCCTGAGGGTAGACCTTGGCAATTCCATGCTCCACTGCCACATCTTAAAGTGTGGCTTATCCAGCACTCCTGAAAGCAGGGGGAAAGGCACTGTTCAGACACATCAGTGTGTAGCAAAATATGTACAAATCCCTAACTATAGTGACCATTGTTCCAAAGAAATCACCAATATTTTCTTTTGAGCATGTTGGGTTTTTTCAGAAACAACTGTATTATTATTATTATTATTGCCATAAAAATGCTGACCTATTTTATGTAACTCTTCAAACGTGATGTATTCATTTTGCAGGACTGAATAGCATTGCTCTGGCCAATTGTTCCACACAAGCAGTTTCCTGCATTCTCTGATATTGCTTCATAAAGATGTTTCCATGATGCTTGAGTCCGTGTGAATCCCAGTAAGGGCTAACTTCCCAAGAAGGCAGCTATTAATGCCAGACTTGGCAGGTTTTGTTTAGTAGACATTAGATAAGACTCCAGATAATTTAAATCCAGAAAATAGTAAGCACCTGAGCTGGTGGAGGTATTCCTGGCTGGCACGTTTCTGTAGACCCATGTTCTGTGAATTGATTTGCCCATCGATTAGGATAAAGCAGTGCTTGGGGGAGGGGGGGCGCACGTAGGCAGGGTGTTGGAGAGAACAGGGCTGGCAGATTGAGTATTCTGGCACTCACAGCTGGCAGAGACTAGAGCGAAAGCATCTGCTGTCAGCCATGGGTAGGGTCATCAGGATAGCCATGTGTTCCCTTGGCACAGTTGTAAAGCCACAGTCTTGCATACCTTGCGGCCAGAACACAAAATGCTTATTGCCAGTTGAGTGAGATTTTTGGATAGAATTTCTTATTGTAATTGAATTAGCTCGCATTCTTCTTTTCATATGTACATTTTTCATGGAGAATGCGGGCAAGAAAAAGTGGGAAAGTTGTTGCACTCTGGAAATTCAGCCTTGGAACCTTCTCTGGAATTTCAGCATCTATTCCTGAAGGTACAGTTTTGATCAATGGGAAGAAAATGGTCTCATCTGTTGACATTTTGTGAAATGAAGTTCAGAATGTCATGTGTCTTATACTTGTCATTAAAAACTACCGTGTGCCATGGTTTTTCCACTAGTATGGAGATAGAAATGTGGTTAGTCCTTGTCAATTGTATTTTAAGTTGCAGAGGTCATGGAAAGAGGATTTGTTAGGATACAAATCTACTTGCCATTTCTTTTTATTAACCCTTATAGTACTTAGACGGAACTTGCTTGGCATTTCTATAAAATATTAATAACTTTGTTTCAAGGAAAGAAAAACCAAGTCATACGTGAAAGCCTAACATGGTGGCATAAAGTTTGAAGCAGTTTTTCATGAGGGGTTAGGGTGCTTGGTGGTTAGGGTAATTTTTCAGGAGGGGTTGACAGTGCCTTGAAGGATAGGGTCAAAATGAGCTGGACAAACTAGAGAAATAGTCTGAGGTAAATAGGATGAAATTTAATAAGGCCAAATGTGAAGTATTTCACATATGAAGTAAAAATCAGTTTCTCTCTCTCACAGAATGGGAAGCGATTGTCTAGGAAGGAGCACTGCAGAAAGCAATTTAGAGGTCCTAGTGGATGACATGTTAAACATGAGTCAACAGTGTGACACTGTTGCAAAAAAAGCAAACCTGGTTCTTTCTGGGTGGTATTAATAGGACTATTGTGAGCAAGACACGAGAAGTCATTCCTCCACTCTACTCTGCACTGGTTAGACCTCAGTTGGAGTGTTGTGTCCAGTTCTGGGCACCACATTTCAAGAAAGATGTGGAATCTGGAGAAGGTCCAGAGAAGACGAACAAAAATGAAGAAAGGTCTAGAAAACATGAGCTATGAGGGAAGGCTGAAGGAATTGGGCTTGTTTAGTTTAGAAAAGGGAAGACTGAAAGGGGACGTAAGAGAGTTCAAGTATCTAAAAGGGTGTCATGAGGAGGAGGGAGGAAAAATTGTTCTCCTTGGCCTCTGAGGATAGAACAAGAAGCAATGGGCTTAAACTGCAGCAAGGGAGGTTTAGGTTGGACATTAGGAGAAACTTCCTAACTGTCAGGGTGGTTAAACACTGGAATAAATTGCCCAGGGAGGTTGTGGAATCTCTCACTGGAGATATTTAAGAGCAGTGTTGGGAATGGGTGAACCGTGCTATGTACACTCCCGTGGTCTCAGCGCTGTGGAGGATTCTCCAGCTGATTTCTCCAGTGGCCTGTGGAACCAAGGTAGAATAAAGACTGATCCACTGGGACTCCCATTCTCTACTGGATAAAGTAGTGGAGAGAAGATCTGAGCCTCAGACTGGGGAGATCTCTGTTCCCAGACTAACAGGGAGGGGTAGGTTTAGAACCACCAGCGGCAATCAGGGCTAATACTCCCGGCTGGCAGTCAGGCCAGCCAAGGCCAGTTAGGACATCTGAGAGGACAGAGGAGGCGCTGCTGGGAGTAGGAGGAAAGAAGGCAAGTGACCACTAGGAGGACGAACCAGAGAAGCAAGGTGCTGAGGACGGTGAGGAGAAGGAGCTCAGGAGTCTTGGAGCTGTGTTACAGCATGTATTGGGGACTCACAGGCAGTGACTATTACAAGGTGCCCCCCCAACACCCACCTCCCCATTTCCGCTTGGGGAAAAGGACTGCTGAGTTTATTCTGATTCACCATCCGCCAGCTGAGGATGAATAGACCTCAACAAACTAAAATCCCGGGCATGGTGCCTAAAATTGTGGTCTGCTGTCAGGCTCTGAGGCAAGCAAATCCGCCAGGAAGCAATAGGACTCTCAGATTTATTTTTTTTCGTGGCAGCTTTTTCAATAGGACTCACAGATTTATTTTTTTTCGTGGCAGCTTTTTCACAATGTGTGCAGACGGTTAATTTGAACATCCTTTTTTGCTGCGAGCTTTTTTCCAGCTGTTAAACACTACTAAAGTTTAAGAAGCCTGGGTGGATCCCTGTGTTAGCTGGGGGTGTGTGTGTATCCCTGTCCACTGACATTCTTAGTGGTTACATGTTTACAAGCAGGGGAACAGGTGGGAGCTGGTGCTCACAGGAAGTAGGGATGTTAAATATCAGTTAATTGAATAGTCGAGTAACCTAATTCTTATCAGTTAGTCGACTATTCTATAGTCCCCAGTAGTGGGGCCAGCAGCCACTGTATGAGGCAGCAGTGTGGGCTGCCAGGCAGAAGCTGGTCCGCCAGGGGAACCAGTTTAAAAACCAGCTCCCTCATGGACCGGCTGCCTGTGACCAGCGCAGGGTTGCAGCAGCTCCTGTCTAGGCTGGGTCTGAGCTTCCGGACCCAACACGAGCTGGAACTGAGCCGGGCTACCTGCCCACCTGGCTCCTAAATGCAGAGCCGCAGCGGAGGTAGGTCCCAAACCCAGCATGAGCCAGGCTGCTGGCCAGCCTGCTAAAAAATTAACCGCAGGGGTGGGAGAGGGAAATGTGTGTAATCTATAGCATTAACCTATATGCATTTGCTTCTTGGTTAATCGGTTAGTTGACTACACTATTACGTCCCTAGTGGGAAGGGGGCTTAAAAGCCGGCGCTCTGCAATCACTGGCTCCCGCCCCCCCCCCTCCTCCCC